CAGAGTTTTTCTAACTCCCGAGCCGCTCCTGAGCATGGCAGCCACAGCGGGTGAATTAACACAGGACGATTCTGCATATTTTGCATTGTATTCAGCTTTGCCGCGTGATCACCTCATTAATTTTTATTCACAGGTCATCGATTTTTCATGCCGCGGTCATATGTTTTCTTTGCATATTCTTTCCTCAAATTTTTGAATGCAACATGTGGCCCAGCTTGTTATTTTGTTATTTTGGTACATATAATTCACTATTGGAGCATTGCGGATAGACTCTTCATGGACATTGTAATTTTCTCTTTGGTTTCTCAGTCATTCAATACAATTCTAACTTTTTCTCCAAATATCAAGCATGACGATGATATTCATCCATGGTACCTTCCAAAATCAAAGTTATTGCTCTTCACCAGAACTTGCCTGGTAGAAATCTATGTGCATGGGAAGAAATGTTCCACACACGCACACACACGCTCCCCCCCCCCACACACACACATACACACACACACACACACAAACACACACACACACACAAACACACACACACACACACACATACACCACACACACACACACATACCTGTCCTGTCCTGTAGAGTCACTGCCGCAAAAGGGTCACGTGATCCCATCACTGGGAAACTTGAGAAGAGAGAGAGAGGACACGACGCCCGATGACGCTCCAGGTGCACGGGTAGTCGCATCCGCTTGCCGCATATGCACACGTGCTGGAAGGCTGAGCACTCCTCTGCTGTTGGTCTATGCGCCACCCTTGAACAGCGATGCCTGCCCCGTCCCCGGACACCGCGAAAGCAGTGACCACACCTGCCACAATGCGCGGCACAACATCCCTCCGCCGGTGCCGACGTTCCGGTAGCTCCAGGTGGCACTGTGGCATCCACCGGGCGTCAACACACACACACACACACACACACACACACACACACACACACACACACACACACACACACACACACACACACACACACACACGCTGACACCCCCACTTGTTGCCCCCAGTTACCCAGTGAATCAATACAATACACTGATCTGGACTCTAATTCTAAATTTCCAAAAATGTCGCCGGCTCAGCAGAGCCCCTCCCCCGCGAGTAAAGTGTACTTCGCATGGCTGACCGCACCACACTAAAACACCTTCCGACACCCCTGAACAGAGTTAGTTGTACCCATGCGAGGGTCCCTGGTTCGAGTCCTGGTGGCGACAGTAAGTTTTTCTTCAGATTTTCCCGTTTCAGCGGCGTCTTTCCCTCAAAACCAGTGACGGTTATTCATGTTCTTCATTTTTTTACTGTTCCCGGGCCGCCATAGACTAGACGGTGTAGACCATGACTGTAGAGTGTGCCATGTGTTGGCAACACCGAGGCTGTGTTTACATGAGAAATTTCAACCCGGGTCGAGTTCAGCCCGGGTTGAAAGTCTGTACGACAAACAAAAGAGGTGAGCGTTTACATGAAGACAGTTGACCCGGGTCAAATACTGATATGCCGCCAAAACTGAGTCCACTTCTAGAGCCCTGTTTGGTCACGTGAATATTTTCGCGCGAAATTTGCATATGCGGTGCAGTTCAAACCTGGCACGAGATTCGCACAGAAGTACGATTTCTCGCCCAGGGTTGATTTAAACCCCCCCCCCCCCCCCCCCCCCAGGGGAGGGTTGAAATCAACCCGGGTCGAAATTTCAACCCGGGTCAAGCGCAATGCGTCCTGTAAACGCGCCATTCGTGTGTACAAGGCGGGTTGAAATCTGACCTGGGTCGAACTCAACCCGGGTTGAAACCTCTCATGTAAACACAGCCTGAGACAATAAAAAAATCTGCTTTTCAGCTTGTCATTCTCGCTTCTTGTGTTTGTTTGTTTTCCTCTAGTTTTCTGATGTTCGCGGAGAAGGCGGAGAGTCGGAACGCAAAACTTTTTTTCTTTAAAAAAAAATATTAGACACCCTTAGCAAACAACGGTAACGCTATTTTTTACGGTACTCGTACCTTGATCACCCAAATAGCGTTGAAGCTGCGGCGTACTTGAAAAACGTTATGGGGGCTGATTTATCGTTGTGACCAACGGTACGGGTTTTGGCCAAATATTGCATACGGTCCGTATGCATTTCACCTTCTGTAGGGTCTTCCCTATCAAAATAATAAATTCTACTACTACTACTACTACTTCTACTACCTTGTATCGCGTATATGGTGACATAAATGGTTGTACAGCGCAAAATAAAAAAGCGGCTATTCTCGTAGCAACAGCGTGCATCTTGCTAAAGGTCGAACCTAAATCACGGTATTTTCCCCCTGTACGACATACGGATTTTCATACGTAATTACGTAGAGCAAAACCCCCTAAGGCTGTGTTTACATGAAGCGTTTCAACCCGGGTTGAGTTCGACCCGGGTCAGATTTCAACCCGCCATGTGCACAAAATGAATGGCACGTTTACATAACGCATTGCGCTTGACCCGGGTTGAAATTTCGCCCCGGGGTTGATTTCAACCCTCCCCCCAAGGGGAGGGTTGAAATCAACCCGGGTCAAGAAAATCGTACAAACGTACTTCTGTGCGTATCTCGCGCCAGGTTTGAACAGCACTGCAGATGCAAATTTCGCGCGAACGGATTCACGTGACCATACAGGACTGTAGAAGAGGACTTTTGGCGGCATATCAGTATTTGACCCGGGTCAACTGTCTTCATGTAAACGCTCACCTCTTTTGTCTATCGTACAAACTTTCAACCCGGGCTGAACTCGACCCGGGTTGAAATTTCTCATGTTAACACAGCCTAATACCATTAGTAGGCGTTACAACATAACGTTTTTTGCTAAGGGTAGAGAGGTTCTGCTAAACGTGAAACGTAGAGAAATTACATAGAGAGCAGGTGCCTGGGTTAGAGTCTACGGCTTCGCGTGTTTTGGCTCCAGATTTCTACGCGGAGATGAGGTTCTCTACGTTGTGGCACACGCAGAGAAAATGCGTACGGATTTGCTGGGTATCGATCAACTGCATGCTGAAAACTGCCAAATATGGAAGGGTAAATTCCCAGTACACATTCCACGTGCCTTCTCTAGGTGAAACGTAGAGCAGAACAGCATTTCTTTACGGTACGGGAACGCGAAGAAAGTTCGCGTGATTCTTTGCATCGCGTTCCCAAAACGTAGAGCAGAACCTCCCTGGTGTCTATTATTTCACGGAGAAGGCGCTAGGCGGAGAGCCCGAACGTGCACGCCGGACTTCAGTTTTGTACTAAAAAAATCGAAAAAGTCGCGTCACGTCAAGAATTCATGACTATACGCCGTCGATCGATACGGCGAACTACAGTGCACACGTCTACAACTAAAAAGTTCCCTCCACTCTTTTATTTCGGTGTAGATCTACGTGTTGCATCAACGACTTACGTAACTCGTTTCTGAACTAACTTTACTTGTCTCATCCACGGTTTAGTCAATCCCCTGCCACTGTCCTTCCAAGTAGCTCACCTTTCACTTCTGTTCGACTTCACAATGGCTGAGGCATTTGAGAAGGCAGCTGCGGACGTCAAGAAATTGGCTGGCCGTCCAGCTGACGAGGACGTGTTATTCATTTACTCGCACTTCAAGCAAGCCACGATCGGTGACTGCAACACGGAGCGACCAGGATTTCTGGACTTCACTGGCAAAGCTAAATGGGATGCTTGGGACTCCAGGAAGGGCATGAGCAAAGAAGCTGCTCAACAGGCGTACATCGAAAAGGCCAACGCCCTGATCAAGACGCATGGCCTCACTGACTCGTAAGAAATGGGAGAATCATTTTCGTGAACTAAACTTTACACCCGACTCTCGCTACATCCAGCGAAGTACAGCAGCAGCAGTACAAAGTTAGCTAGCTGATGAGTGTGCCTGTTTATTGTGATGGGGGCCATCAGCTTTCTCCTTGCTCTGCATCCAGTTGTAGCAGATAGCAAGCAGTCTATCAGTAACTTTCTGTAACGGGTGATGGTTTCCGAGATCCAAATCCGATCAGTGTCATATTGCCACAGGTGTTGTGCTATGATTTTAGTTTTTATTCTTGAAATTATTACATTTTAGTAGTCAAACTAGCTTCCTATTATTTCTGTTGCCATGTAACAGCCTTTGCTTCAACCGGAATTTATTTAGGCAATTTATGTTGTACTGGGCCTGTTGGTTATGTGCGGTGATGTTCTACTTGTGTATGTGTATGTGTGTGCGCTCACGCGCGCGCATGTGTATAATTATTATTATGCACGCGCGCACACGTGTGAATCCATGTGGGTGGATGTACCATTTCAACAAGTAGTGTCTGCGTAAGACCTGGCCAAAGCAAGGGTGGTGAATTCCTCAGCCTTGTAAGCTGTGTAAACCCAGCCGAAGTTGCTATGTTTGCACCGCCATTGCTTCGGCGATAGGCGTGTATGGATATGGGTGTGCCTACGAGGTTAGTCAGTGGACACAATCAATACAGGCGGAATCCTAATAATAAATACGGTTTAATTTCAACTTTCTTCTGGGACCAATTTCAGTCAATAGTACTCAATACAATGGACCACATAGCAATGTGATTATGTCTGATATTCGAAACTCAAACTGGCCATGCACACTCAATAGCGGTACAGTGGCCCCTTTATAACCAGGCACCATTTCATTTTTCTGCTACGGAAATTCTGCTGCTTCAAGACGTCACATACCGGTATTCTTCAGTTCAGTTGGTATGTGTGGTGAGGCTGGATTTCACTTGCCACTGGACTAGTCTACACTTCTGTATCTGCTGACGACAGTAGTAACTGCGGATTGATATCCTAGGGCCGCAGCAAGTACCAAGAGTACATTATACATAACCTGGGATTATACATAACCCCCAGGTTATGTACTCTTGCAAGTACTGATCCCATTTGGTCGGACCACCTGAAATCCTGATGCTACAGCCCTGCTTTGTCTCTGACTTTACCAAAATTAATTTGCATGGCTATGAGTACTTGGCCTCTCTCACTTCAACTCCTGGATAGTCCCAAGGTGCCGTCTGAAAAACGAAAGCAAATAGCACCAACTACTTGTAGTTGCAGAGGGTGGGATGACTACTTCTGCTGCAATCGATCCGAAAGCATTTCAAGACACGGAAGACCGTCCGTGTTCGTTTTCTGACAGCGATGCAATATACAAAAAGCAAGTACGCGAGAAACTAAGCAGGTGTCCACTATCCACATGCCACATCCTAACAAACTTCTAACAGAAAGCAACTAAGAGCACAAGACTAAGAAAAGAGCATAATGATGATGATGTGTGATATGATAATTATCTGTAGCGTGTGCACCGAGGTCACAACCAGTAGTACTCTGTACTGTAGACATGGAATATGAGATATGACCAGTTACCATGGTGATGTTGCATTGACATGTGTTTCATGTGAGGTATGTCTTCATGCAGGCTTCGGCACTTGCACTGTGGCCAATGGATTATCATAATATTTCATAGTAAAACGAGCATTTGATGAGAAATTTTCATGAGAGATTTTCAAGCAACACGAATCGATTCAACAGAAACAAGCCTGTATGTGCTACCTCTTTCCAGCAGCAGGTAATTTGGTAGTTGTGCCATTCTCCTCCTCGGCTCTCTTCAAGATCTCAGCTTCTCCATCAACGTCCTTCTCCACGTGAAAGAGCATGTCAGCCATTGCCTGCTCAATCATGTTATGGTCAGCAGCTTCACTCATCTGCGCAAACACACACGCACGCACAGTGGAAATGCAGCCTGCACAATCAGTAACTTCAAGAGTGGAACCCACCGGTCGAACACTACACTCAGAAAGTTCCTTTGCCAAGCAGCATTGTCAAGCAGCATGTGTACTTTCAATTCGCCCAGTGGTTCAACTCAGCAGTTTGTATACTAGTGTAGTAAGTACAGTCAAACCTCGTTAGGACGAACTTCAAGGGACTGAACAAATTTGTTTGTCTTATCCGGAGTTCTTCTTATCCAGATCCGACAAAAAAATGATATGCATATCATATGGATTGTATTTACGTGAAGGTACATGTTGTGGCACATGTAAAGCATTTTATTCCTAGCATTAGCCAGCAACAGGTAAGTACCGTGTGCAATGAATTCATGATAGCATATCCTCCGCCTTGTACCATGCTGTCAATTCGTTTTGCCCGTACAAGAGGCCTCGACTATCGGAAAAAAAACTACAGCCAGTACACGCAAGTGGACCGAAAGTTCGTACTACGTGCTGATTTTGTTCAAATCACGCTTGAATTAGTTCACCCAACAGAGTTCGTCGTAAACAAATAATTTTGACTTGATATGATGCCTGGTCAAGCATAGGATTGGCTTTAGTTTGTACTAATGGAAAGTTCGCTTTATCAGTGTTCGTCCTAACGAGGTTTGACTGTAGTTGAAAATTAGCACAGTATGAGCTATCAGCAAGAGTATTTTAAAAGCTCCCAAGAGTGTGCAACTAGCCGTACACTTACCGGCCTGTACTGCGTATCATCATCAGGTGGACATTCAAACGTGGGACCAAAGTTACACGTTATCTAGAAAGAGAAAGAACATACACACATGGATGAGCGTTCACAGAACCAGTCAACAGGCAATAGTAAATATGCCATGAGGAACGGCAACTGAAACAAGCCGTGCGGTCTACACCTGCTTCAACATCGCATGTAAGACCCCAAACCCGAGATGGGACGGGATAATAGCAACATCCATGATGGCAATGCTAAACAGACAAGAGTATACAAAGGAGACGGTGTTAAAATACTACATGTATATGGGAAGAGGAGCATGAGAAGTCTTCAGCTCCAAAATTTGGGTATGAGTGTGGCGAGCAGATATCAGCTACCAGTAACCAGGACTCACGGTTGCATTCTTGAACAAGGAGACTGCTGGGTAATAGCGCCCTTCATACACACCTTCACATGCTACTCCCTGGAAGAGCACACAACCGCATCACAGTCAGCTAAAACAAACTATTTTGTCATCATTGACACATCAAAGTTCAAAGACTGCATGTATGCCCACAGACACACTTTACAACAGTCAAAACAGGATTTTCAACCCTGGTCTTGACAACAATGGTAGCCAGCAACTTCTCGAGTTCTATTCAGCTGTTGGAGCCTGTGTGGGCCGAACAAGCAAAGGGAACACAGAGAGCTGGACTTACCTGGCTTACTCCATTCTTGAAACATACCAGCTACATTGAAAAGTACACAGCAAAGAACACAGTCTGTGGATGACAGCACTCCTCCATACAGCATGCACAGTACATCTACATCATGGCACTGGAATCTAGAAGAAACTTAAGAGAGAGAGAGAGAGAGAAAGAGAGAGAGAGAGAGAGAGAGAGAGAGAGAGAGAGAGAGAGAGAGAGAGAGAGAGAGAGCATTTAGGAGAAATCTAGAACACATAGTCATTGCAATCAGCTTACCCTGCTGCTAGGAAGCTTCATCAAGGCCTGGATAGTGTACAGAGGTAAAGACGCATATGCACGCACACAATTAGAAATTACCAAACATGTCATAGCACATTGTAGAGGCTTTACTGGCCAATTCATCATACATACATACACACATACACACATACATACATACATACACATCACCGAATTCATACAAGCCAACCCCACACAGATAAGACACTACATATGTATAAGACAACGTTGAGGTATCTTCTTCAAATTCTTGCAGCATCTGTGACCGACTAGCGATGGTGGTAGTATTTGCCTGAGCAATTGCCACAGTTCTTGCAAAATACACCCCAAAGTACAACTAATGGTACCTTCCACATACATATTAGTATTGCAGAGGCCAGGCCCAATGCAGCACACGCAGCTTGGAAAATAACACTTTTATTGCGACGAAAACCCACGCCGTAGAAGCACTGCTCATGAAATGATCGCCGATGATACCAAGCATTATCACAACCATAGCACTAACCTTTTCTTCTCTTTCGACATAATCTTTCTCCTCATAGTAGAGGAAGTTTTTGAAGCGGATAAGAGCCTGCAGAGAGACAGACACACCATATTTACAAAAATTACAAGCTATAGCTATGGCAAGCAAAATTCTACTTCCATGCACTGACAGAACCCAACACCACACCCACAGTCACCACCACGCAGCATTTGATGCAGTATCATAATTATAGTCAAAGCCTCCCCAAGAATTTTTTTCGTGATCATGTTTAAAAAAGGAGGCAACCCAATAACATCTCGGCCCTTGCCCTCGTTTACAAGTGCAGGTTCATTTCAACAGGAGTACAATGCACTGACCTTGTCCTTGTGTGTAGGTGGCAAATGTTTACCTGGTACGCAGAACAAGCATACAGAACACATGAAAGGCATACACGATACCAGGACAACAAAGGTATTCCTGCAGAACTACTGAAAAGGGTCTAAATTGTCTAATTTACAGTGATAACTAATTTCCTTTGGCCGATTGGCCAAGACATAGAAGCCTGTCGCGAACGTCGAGTGTACACCCAGCCAATACAACAGTGTACATGGCCAATACAACATGCCACATTGCACACACGATTTATGCCAGTAGTTCATGGAGGCATGGCAATGGCCAACAACACCTGTTTGTAGTTCCTTGGTATAATCAGGTATTCCTGCTTCGACTCAGAACTTCCTTGCTGCACTTACTGGAGTCAGCGTTGTCTGGGAGGTCAATGAGAAACCCTAGAACATCACCAGTTCCAAAGCCACCAGCGCTGCACGCATAGAACAAATGCAGTATACAGTGCACATAGGAACTCATTCTGACATGACATGTCATCATTGCCCAAGCCATGACCAATAGGCAATACTGTACTCGGCTTTTACCGCCAAGAGCATAAGCAGTGGATCATGCCCGATTGACTTCACTTTGGAAAATGTGCTGCCTTTGGGAGGTCGACAATTGGACCTTTCGGCCTTTGACCATCAAGTCATGTGAGGAATCAAATCAAGCACGCTCTTTGTCGGTCACGATGGCTTATCTTGCTCTTGAACGCATCCATCGGGGTCTGCGGCCCTTGGGCTGCATCCTCCGGCAAGATGACCTCCAGAGCGTGCTTGACTACATATACATGCATCGGCAGTCACAAGAAAGCATGAGAGCCCTGTCACATCCCTAATCTAGTGCCAAGAGGTAGTGTAGTACACCAGTATCAACCTTCTTACCTGTAGTGCTTTCCAACACTCTGATGAAAGAAAGTGCCTTTGCGACTTCGCCATGAGTAGCTGAACTTATCATAACCACATGGAGCTTGTAGCTGGCCTGAACAAGAAATGAGGTAGGTAAATACACAACAGTGCTCTCTGCTTTGGCTAAACACAACATTTCCAGCAGCAATGGTCCTGACAGAGACTTGAAGGGACAGTCCAGCCCAGTCAAAGTGCGAGTCCACTGTTTTGTTATGATTTTAAAACAATGGTAGCCGAGAGACCGTTTTGGGTGGTATCCGCCATGATGGCACTGGGTATGATTATGTCAGCAAGATGAAGAAGTTACAGTGGAGAGTTTAGCACCCTTAGAAAAGTATCACAACATGCATATCAACTCATGACTTTTCCTAACATGCATATCATTTTTCCGTGCTCCTACTATCAGAGAGGGTGCTAGTCTCACACAACTATGCCCCTGCAGTAGTCCACCAGCACGAGTTCTCTTACTACCAGTCAAAGAGAGTGGACAAGTTGGCACCCTGGTGTGAAGTTGTGAACTTGTACATTGCACATGCATTGATGTTGGACAAACAAGCTCAACCGCACACACTTGTGACCATTTTTTGGGGGAAAGTCCTGTCAGAGACGGATAACAAGTGCCAGATATACGTGGTAAAAATAACTGGCAACGATCTGCTTCTTGAGAAGTCCTGCCGAAAGTCAAGGGTGCCGGATTAAAGAGGTCTGACTGTACTGACCAATTTGATATGCATACTGAAGGTTGGACAACAGACCTGTATCCACAGGAATCCTGTCATCTCCGGAAAGACTCCGCTGCACCAAGTATGTCGGGTAAAGACAGGTTCTACAGTACATGCAATACTGCTCTCTGCTCACTGCTCACTGCTGTACTCACCCAGGCTTTGCGCCCAACCAATGCGACACGCTGACGGCTCTGGCATACTGTCAACACGAACCTGAACCAAGGCCAGTCAAACAACAACAACAACAACAACAACAACAACAACAACAACAACAACAACAACAACAACAACAACAACAACAACAACAACAACAACAACAACAACAACAACAACAACAGCAACAACAACAGCAACAACAACAACAGTCATCGTAAGAATAAAGATTTGAAACAAGAGTAGGGCAGTAAGTTGCCAGTAACACTAAGATAATAGAGAGGTTCCGGGGTACGATTTTCCGTGCCAAAATCCGTATGGGCGCCACGGATTTTTTCGAGGCGTGCTCCATACGATTTTTCGGCACGGAGAATCCGTGTGGACTGGCTTTCATACGAACCATGTTTCGTATGGAGATTTTGCGTCATCGGGTGCAGAAAGATTTTTCGCGTACAAATTTGGTACGAGAAACATCGATTTTCCGCGGGAAGTTTTGATTTCGGTACAAATTTTCAAAATAAAAAGGCATAGCGCCGGAATGTGACGTGTTTGCGATCGTAACCTAGGCAATGACGGCAAACACATAAGTTCCGTACTCCGGAACATTTCACTGCTCGAAAACGACGTATAAAAAATCCGTAGCGCCTCTACGGATTTTGGCACGAAAAATCGTACTCCGGAACCTCCCTAATGTGTCAACAATTGAACATACTTCATTACAGTACACAGAAATAATAAAAAAATTCCACAAATGAGCCAAGGTCCACATACACATAACACGGCTGTCAAGAAGCGGCAACTTAGAAAGATGGCGTCGGTTCGAGATGGCATGGTAACCGCGCACGTGCCGTGGTCCGTGACTTGCTCATGTATGCACGCAAATGCAAGTCACAAACTCACAAAGATCGTCTTTGCATTTGGAGAAAATACCTTCGACTCTCTTTGGAGGTTGGCGAGGTTTGACTATTTTACTTGATTGCGATGCCGGTATGTCCTCTCAATAATTAGAACAAAGAGAGCTGATGATCGCTTCATTGCTGAGCAGAAGTAACAATCAACTCTCCTCATGTCCTCAGTGCCAAAGGCAGACGACTGCAATTCCACAACGCTCATTTCACGATGATGGAAACAATAATCGTGTACTAGTACACACTTGGACCATTTGGTCATCCCTGTTCTAGCCGCTAGTCCGTCCAGCAAGCAGATATTGACTATTACGATAAGGACACCTGCGTGAACGAGGGCTCGCCCAGCAAATTCAATTCAAGACGTGACTCCAGTCAAGAATTAGGGTCTTTACTCGAGAACTTCACAAATACAGGTCAAGGCACCCCACAAAACTGATAGATGGCACGAACGAAAGACAAATAGGCTAGACAAAGTGTCCCAAGCGATTGAAAACAGCAGATCTACCAAATAAGACAGCTACATGTGCCTAAACAACGATTTCCATACAGTAGAGAGTAGTATCAGGCAGAATGAAAGCCTTGGAAGTGCACAAATACAGCCACGACCGCCACAAAAATTGGACGACCGCCACAAAAAAATTCTCATTGCTCTACCTCCTTGAAGGGTGAAAGTTACCAGTTATCCTATAGCGATGTCAGTTTATGCCTGTTGGAACCCCCCACAGCCCGCACGAAATACCTTTCAAATAATTCCAGGATGCAATTGCAGCTCCAGACAGGAGGAAGAAGAACACCGTCAAAAATAACGGCAACGATGCCCAAACTCTCGGGAAACGGCTGAAGTCTTCCTGAAGATGTTAACATTGAATAGCCATCGATTACCAGCGTGGTTTGGTGACTTCAGACTGTTTTGAGACTTAGAACGAAGCGATATCTAAAATTTGATGGAATTGTTACCTGTCAAATGCGTGGGCGAGCAGGCCAGCTGACTGGTTATGCATGAACATGCATGAGCATGCATTGATTTTTCATGGTTCACGTGCAGAAAACTAAGTTGCCGCGATCCAAGTGCAGCTAACAGCCGTGATAACTGGGCACAGACCAGTGCCTGTAAACCATAAATCATGCTGTTTACTGTTTAGAACCTGCTATACATGTACGATGTACATGTACATGGAGATACACTGCTATGCAATGTACAAGGTAGATCTAGATGCTTGACTAACCTCAAAGTACCACTGTCCATGTGAAACGCCTGCATATAGACACAAGCAAAAAATCATGCAATCTAAAATTGATCAACATGTCCCCGCAAGAAGTAGAACAGTTAGGCAGGGATCGGAAAGTTTGGCTGGATATTGCAAACAGATGTACTGACTCCGCATGAAATTTAATTTTGATTTTACTGGATCTTAACCTTCCCATGTCCCCTGAATCTGTCCAGCTAGCCCCTACTACTAGCTACTATCAATTGTACGTCAGATTCGACTTATTCCTGCAGACAGATGCATTAACCCCGTACGTTTCACTTGGGCTACATGCGAACTGTGTTTATTATTTTAAATATTGAAGAATGCAAAGGAAAGCAGAAAAAAGAGAATGCGAATCAAGCCTTACCAACAGTGCCACGTATCATGCAATAACCTTTGTCCCCTGTGACATTGAGACGGTCTTCAGACACTTTCAATTGAGGAGCTGCACAGCACAGAGCACAGAACACCAACAGTACAGTAAAAAAAAGAGAGTAAAGTTCGCACATCCGCGTTACCACCGGCTTACAATTGTGTTGAGAAACACAACCGGCTTAGAGAAGTTTCGCTCATGCCACGCCAACACCATGCCTGATTATACCAGTGTGGCCCCGTAGCAACAGTAGCAACAGTACAGCAGTACATTACTATAGATACAGAGCTGACAACTCCAGTAAAACCAGTCAAGGTGACCACTACACTAGGACCAAGGGATGGCAATTCCAGTCAACTGACCCAGGATAAAAAGACCACCTGTACACGGTGGTCGCATTCGTAAGGTCCCTCGAGTGGTCGGCTTAGACAGGTTGCACTGTATCACCAGATTAGTGTCGGAGATGACAGTAGGCAGAGTACGTGTGTAACGATTGTGGTAGCTGTATCGACACAAGGAACACTGTACCTCGATCATGCAACGCTAGCAATGAGAGTGGAGGAGCAACAACGCGGTACAGGAATCCTGGTACGGCCTTGCCGGCATAAGCATCAAGATCTTTCTCCGTTGTCCTCGGGTCCACCTCAGCCAAAATATACCGATACCCATCCTGCAACGAAACCATCACCAAAAAAAACACAAAATATGATCTAACTTAGGCGACATAACATAGAAGCCAGTATAACACCCACTACTATGTACGCGCGCAGGTGCCGCGTACCAACACTTGACTTCTCGGTGCCTGACGTGTCGACATGCAGGGAGTCGTCAAAGTTGAGCGCATGGCGGTGCAGACCTTCACATTTCTTGGGTTGGTCACACAAGCCTTTTAACCTCTTCAGTACTTGAATCATTCGTCACATACTGCAGTGGATCCAGATTTGGCCATGGCACCGAGGACTTTGTTTGGGGGTATCTTGGATAAGACAGTTTTAGTCAAGTGTCCATGTATACACACATGCTGATGAGAGGAGAAAATGGTCTAACATTACATCATAACCATGTTATTATATTACATGTCATGGTTGAAAGACGAAAATTATAGTGTTAGAAATAGGGGGGGGGGGGGGGGGTGGGTCAGACTAAATTTGACCGCTACTGTATTCAGATTTTCGAATTTTACGGACGGCACCGTATTTATTCGTTGACACTGCATCTCGTGGCATTCTGTAAACCAGACATACCCACCTTGTTATGAGGATGCTCTGTTGGGTATCCGTGTACGGGAAGCTTTGGTGTAGTGCTAGTACAACAGGAGGACAATGGAGAAAGGAACGAAAGCATCACAACACTTTACAGCAATACCATCAAGACTGTTTTGATTGATCAGAGTAGCAGCAACAGCACCACCATGGTGAATACAAGTCAAGACCAACGTCGGTATATTAGACACCACTACTAACTGCAGTAGTCGCACAACTTCCGCAGACCCCGTTATGTCACCATAAGGCACGGAAACACGACATACGTACCAATAGATAGCAGCAGCAGAAAACAACAGTACACACACACACACGTGCGCAAATAGTCGGTAAGTAGTATATTGGATGGTGCTTACGTTCTGGTGCGCTTGGATGCAGTGGGGAAAGTTTCACCTTTCCGTTTCGGTCCTCGTGTTCCTGGGAGCTTTACGGTAGCCTGCGGTGGAAGAGGCTTGGGTGTGGGGTCAACAACCTTTCTCTCAATTTTAAATAGGTTGTCAACAAACGATGGTGTCAATACAGACAAATCTTGATACTGCACAGAACATACACATGCACAAATGGTTAATTTACACGACAGTGATACAGAATTGGATACTAGAAGTCTCCAAACTGCCCAACACATGCGCTCTCCGGTCGACCTTGTCGACCTTGTTCACCCCACCAGCAACACAACTCCGAGTTATAGCAGCTACCGGCATAAGGTACGCGTAAGGTACTGCAGACATGGAATATCAGGTATACCTGTTACTCTATGTTCGCAATGATCTTTCGCGCCTACACTACAGAATTACATGTATCTATGTGCGCAGTACCTTACGCGTATTGTGTGGCACATGTACCGCAAGATAGTGATAAGGATTACGGTGCACAACGTACTGTAAGACATGTTATTATAACGAGTCGCAAATTTAACGATTGTCCAAAATTCATAGGTTAACGAGAAGATATGTTAACGATCTTGCAGTATTCTGCCATATCCACACACAGCATAATGAAGCAGTACGGCCTCCACGGATCTTATTATAACGGAGAAATGTCATCCGTTAAAACGTTAGATTTGCTTCCTCGTTATATATACATGTCTTACAGTACTACAATGTACTGAATTAATAACAACTTAACAAGTGAGCCGCCAGACTTGGTGACGAGGTTAATGGCATTCAACACGAGCTGGTTAGCACTACGAGAATAACCCAGCTTTGCCCTACAAGATCATACATGTAGTGAGAAAATGGGAACTAAGAATTGAAACACCACCATCATTAATTAAATGACGGAAAAAATGAAAAATAGTAAATACAGATGATGCCAGTCACAGGCCGAATTTCAAACGTGTTTTCCTGGAGTGCCATCTGGCAATAGAAGGAAGAGGGAGCAAAGGTAGTCGCACTGTGAATGTCCACAATGAGAGGTACTCATATCATCACCACCTGAAGAAGAGCTTACCTTCTCAGTCAAGGAGTATTGCGGTGGCGTTGAATCATCAATATCATAAATGTCAGGATATTGCTTCTGCAGAAGGGTAATTCGTCAAGAACAACCCAACAATTGCATAAGGAATAGCGACCAACAAAAAGAAATACATGTACAGGCATTGAAAAATGACACACTTTGACAATGAGCTTGAGTATCCAGAAACATTATACATGTATGAGCAATGGGAAATTGAACAATGCACAGCAACAACAGCAGCTCCAAGAACAGCAACAATGGGAATAACCACAACCACAACCACAACCACAACCACAACAAAAACAACAACAACAACAACAACAACAACAACAACAACAACAACAACAACAACAACAACAACAACAACAACAACAACAACAACAACAACAACAACAACAACAACAACAACAACAATATTGGCCACAGGCCATCGTGAGAATAAAAGATTTCAAACAACAACAACAACAACAACAACAACAACAACAACAACAACAACAACAACAACAACAACAACAACAACAACAACAACAACAACAACAACAACAACAACAACAGCAACAGCAACAGCAACAGCAACAGCAACAGCAACAGCAACAGCAACAGCAACAGCAACAACAACAAATATAACGACAAATACAACGACAAATACAATGTGACAGTTTCAAACTTACAAAGCGCATGTCAAGACGCGCCGACCAGTGACTTGAACGCGAGCGGTTCGTACAGATAGAGTCCCAGTTGGTTAGAATAAATGGAATGATATCCTGCAGTGTTCAACACGAGAATACACCTGTCAAGCAGTGCCCATTAAAGGGGAAGTTAAGCATAAAAGCAAATTTTCACCAGTTGTAGTCTTCGGGGTGCTGAGTTGAAATGGTCTTGGTCCGAGGAAGCTGAGACGCTTTTAGTGACATTTTGCATACAAATCCCCATATAGTAGGGCGCAGTCACCCAGTTTCGGTGGAAGTGCGCGAGTTCGATTGGGAATAAAGGAGGAAGGGAGCATCTCAGCTTCCCCGGACCAAGACCATTCGGCTCAGCACCCCGAAGACTACAACCGATGAAAATTTGATTATAGGGTATACTTCCCCTTAAACGTATCAATGTTATATCAATTTAAGCCGTAAAGCATTCCCAAACGCACCAACTGCCATAGTGTTCCTGGTTGACGCTGCTGAAAGTTTCGATATATTTGAATCAATTTTCGTCCCTCGTGCTTTATCAGGACATCCACAAGAAGCTGGCTTGGCTCTAAGCTGTGAAATTAGGAACATACACATACCGGTAGCAGTCTGGGAGACAGAAAGACACAAAATACACACACATACACACCATGTATGTAACGCCACACACACACACACACACACACACACCCTTGCGCGCACACACACACACCTCACACACACACACACACACGCTTGCACACACACACACACACACACACACACACACACACACACACACACACACACACACACACACACACACATTCACGGATGCATTGCACAAGCTCGCACCTGGTCACCAAAGCATTCACACTGACCTGATTCAAGTCAAAGAATTGCTTCGGTTCATCCTCAGACCGCTGAGCCGCTGTCAAGTTAGCTACGGTGGTCAGTAAAATACCATCCCATACTGTTGGTAACACAAAACATGGAAAGAATTTACTTCCGTGCCTCTAGCAGCTTCGGAGAAAAGATGAAAAATACAACTGTCAAAAATGCAGTAGAGAGGAAGAGTTGCTACTATTCCCATTCGAGTAAAAAGGCATTGGGTAATCAGAACACCTCCCCTCCTAGGATTATGTACTGTCGTGGCCAAAGAAATGCGACCTGTGAGCCGAAAGCAGTGCTGCGGCTCATGCGGCCCAAGGCTGGGCTTTTGGACGGTGCATAACTGTAGTATTGTTTCTTCTTCAGTCCAAAACAACAAGAGTCCCGAGTCAAAACATGCACAGCGACAAAAAGCCGCGAAGTCCGTTTCACGCGCGCGCGCGGGAAACGGCACATGCTACATGCATAACAAATCACGATGTATTACTACTACTACATGCATCATGAATGTCTGGAGTGGCCAAGGAATGCCACAGCGTGTAGGTACACGTGAACACTACAATAACGTAATAGACATGGAAACGCGGCGCTACTTTGGACTCATGGGTAGGACTTCTTTGGCCACAATTGTACATGTTAACTTAATGCATGTCTGGTTATCAGGGTGTCCGCAATAGAGAGGTTCTACAGTACACCGAACATCGGGGCACCCTGACTATGTACCATACACACACCACATGTATGATAACACACATACCAGCTGGACATCGACGAACATTAGGTAGACCGCCGCCACACGCAGAGCATTGGAACTGGTAATTGGACATATAAGTAATGAAAGACCAGTTGACGAACCTACACCAACCAAATTAGTTGAAACAGAAAACAGTAACAGAAATCCTCTGGTGAAATAAGGGTGAAAACTGAGCAAACCATGGTCACTTGGCTCATACAGATGCTGAACTTCGCTGACTGGAGTCAGCTGCTTGCACGTGTGGCATTCAAGATCCATCGTCTCTCATCTCCAAAACTGGTAGACTATGCTACTTGCAGTTATATGAAATGCACTGCATGAAACGAATGTCTTGGCAAACGAAGCAGAAGTAATATTCTCACGATCACAATGTGTTACGTTTCAAGATCGGTGTTTTCCTACACATTTGAAGAACTCACGGCACGGAATTTCGCGGCAAAATATTGCCGATTTATCCATTTTTGTCAGAAGTAAAAATAATATTAATGATTTTGGAAACAAACATGACGTATGCATGTAGAATGATCATCAGACATCGATGCATCAGGGAGTACGAGTCCGTCACGACTCCCCTGGCCCTGATGTCAGTGATGGGAGATCGAGAGACGGGATCATGGGAACTGTCTTGATAAATTAAAATGATACAAAGACTTGAAAGCCAAGAATTGAGAAGGAGCATGAGCCTTATCGTACTCAGTCATGCACCAAGTATACTGGGCCCCGGCCGCCCCGCCCCCCCCCCCCCCCCACACACACACTCACACTGTACACTGAGGGGAGTCTAAAAGTGGGCACCCGGGTAGTTGACTTACAACTGGGATTCAACTGCTATTGATCATTTTGCTCTTGAACCTGTGAATTGAGGTAACATTGGTGGTCTTGATAAAGTTGAAGTTTAACCGAGGTCGACTTATAACCGGTAAAATACGGCGTATCCCGGAATCCGGGAGTAGTCATCGCATTTCCCCGCAAAAATTACACTCGACCGCGCGACTACCAATCATGATACGCTATGTGTATCTGACATCTCTCTATTACTGTGACTATAAACCTTGCAAGCCTTGAGTCTGACGGTCCACAACCAGTACTATTGTAGTATTGGCGCACCGTAGCGTAGGAGCACGTGACACTTTGCATGCATGACCTGTCATCTATAGAAACCTGTACGCCGGCCTGATAGACACGCTTTTTGCACACCACAGTCAATAGCCTGAATGCTTCACAGATTTTATTCTTCCTCCTGCCGCCACTCTGTCTGGTCCACACACATAATAATAGATATCACTTTTCCTACACTGTCTCCCTTGCTTTAGCAATTAGTTATGGATTCCGTTACACCGCTGGCGTCTCTTTCTCTTTCTTCATTCGCTACCTAAACATAACGTTTCCATTGTTTCTCTTCGATATTCTTTCCGCTAGTTCTCGCTGTCTTTTCCCGTAGTCTCGATCTTTCTGCCGCAAAGCCCGCTGTTCTCCGGCTAGCTATTCCGTACTCTACGCTGTCCATGTCGATCTAGCGATCCTTCTCCCTGCTCCGCTGCGCTGTTTTATCGATCTCCCCGATAGCTAACTTCCTCTATAAATTGCTAGTGTTCACAATCATTCTTTGCCTTTCCGTGATTCAGACCAAGAGAAGTACGTTCCCGAGAGTTAGGCTCTCTCGACCCCGAGTTCAACTGTGAAAGTCTGCGACTGTGTCGTAGCATTGATTGTGATCGTAGTTTAGAGAGAGAGACTTTGAGTGCATGAACTGTTGATATCGCCGATATCACACTGGTGGCAGCGGTGGTTCGTCCTCTACGTGCTTTCTTCTTTAGTCCTCTTGCTGTCTCGGTCGCTACTTGCTTGCTTCTCTGTCCACTTAGCGGTCCTCGTTCCTCTTGTCCTGAATCTCGTTCACCACCTGCGCTCCGGTCACCATGGCTCAACCTGCTCCTGCTGGTGCTGCTGCTGCTGCGCCTGCCGCCGTCCCGCGTGTGCCTCCTCACGCTATTATGCCAAACAAATTTGCTGGTTCGCTGTCGGACAGCTGGCCGACGTGGCTCAACCACTTTCAGCAAGTGGCTACCATCAATGCCTGGACGCCCGCCGAGCAGAGTCAGTTCATGGCAATATCATTGAACGACGAGGCTCAGCTTTATTACCAGTCGCTGCCCCAGGCCACCCGACAGGGCCCAGTCGCTGCTCTCATTCAGGCGCTCCAGGACCGTTTCGCGCCTGCCCAGCGCGTGGACCTACACCGCGCCAATTTCAAGGGCTCACACCAGTCCAAGGAGCAACCACTGGGCTCCTTCTGCGAGAACGTAAGACACTCTGCACGCCTTGCCTACCCGGCCATGCAGCCTGCTGATTTGGATGTCCTCGCAAAGGACCAGTTCGTCCAGGGCCTGGATTCGCGTGCCATGCGGATCCGGGTCCGCGAGCTGAACCCCGCCACGCTAGACGACGCTCTTCGGGCCGCGATGCAACATCAGGCAATCCAACGCGCGGAGACTGCCCCGGAGGAGCGCCCGCCAACGTTGCCCGCGTGTTCCGCGCAGCCATCTTCGACCAGGGACGCTCTAGCCGACCAAGTGAAGGCCCTGGCGGAGACCGTGGCCGCACTGCAGTCTGTCCAGACGGAGCTTGCCCGCCGATCTACCAGGGACACGGGCTACCATCGGCGTGACGAGCCATCACCCCGCCGCATGCCGCCCAGCCCTCGCCCTTCTACATCGTGCTGGAACTGCGGGCGAGACGGTCATTTGGCCCGGGACTGCCGCTCTGCTCCTCAACGCCAGGCTTCCCAGCCGTTAAACTGGCGCCAGCTGCGACGGTGAGCCCACGTTCGCCAGCCGTCTTCTCCTTTTGGGCTCCGGTTAGTGACCAATGTGATTTTGTATATATTCTTGACTTCGTTGCCATCGCTCTGTTTGCACTGGGTTACATCCATTTCTGCATTTTGTTTCCTTGGCTGTTGTGTTGTCCTCCCGTTCTGTGGTGTGTGTACCGGTCGAATCCTCAGGCCTTCCGCCTTCCCTTTTCTACTCTTGTCTCTGAGATTTCTGGTTTGTGTTCCTTGCCGACTGTACAACCACCTGTGCCTGTTACCTCTGTCAATGCTGCCTCCTCATTCTCTGTACCTGCCTCTGCAGAGGATGTGTCTGCTGTAGCTCTTATTGACACAGGTTCTGCGGTATCCATGGTCAGTATGCAGTTGTATTCTCGGCTGCCGGATCACCTATCCTTGAGCAAGTCTTCCCTTCCACGACTTCAATCCGTTAATGGCTCCCCTGTCTCTGTGTTGGGTAAGCTGTCTGTGTCTGTTACTGTTGGTGGCCGTGCATTCCGTCATGACGTCCTTGTTGCTGATATCCAGCCAGAACTTGTCCTAGGGTTGGATTTCCTTGATTTGCATGCCTGTATCTTGGACACTAGTAACCGTCGACTTACCTTTGAGCCTGTGCCTGCTTCAAACAATGCCTGTCGCCTTGATAACAATACCCCACCTCCCTTCCCCGCTAACTGTCGTGTCCGCTTAACGGAGAGTATTTGCATTCAGCCCTTTTCCCAAGTCATTCTTCCTGTTGCTTGTGATGCACCACTTCCCACCGGTGACTTTCTTCTTGAGCCCCGCCCTGACCTTCATGAGGTGTTTGACATATCCGCTACTTACAGTGTTGTTTCGGGTCCCCTCGCTGAGCCTGTTCCGCTCCGTGCTGCTAGTACACACCAGGCCTCTGTCACTCTTAAGAAAGGCACTTGGGTAGCTACTGTTAGCCCTTGCTCTGTTGATCCCGAGTCATCTGCCCCGGCGGATGCCCTGCCTGTTCATGCTACCCACATTGGTTATGACGGCACCGTCCACACAAAGCCACGTCTCCAGGTCGGTGCTGAAGTGTCCGTCTTCTCGCCCGTCGTCCCGAAAGGAAAGTCGCCCAAACTACACAGCTACTGGTCCGGCCCGTTCGTTGTCCGTAAGGTGCTGGACTCTGTCACTGCCACCATCGAAGACGCCAGCAAGGGCCAACGGCTGACGGTCCACGTAAACCGCCTCAAGCCGTATATTCGGCCGCCTGAAGTGCCAGTCGCTCCTGCACAGTATACGGCCCAGATTAACCCGACCTGCGATGACGACCTACCCGTACCGCTGGCTGGCCCGCCGCCTCGCTATAACCTCCGGCCTCGGAATGCACTCCAGCGACCTCACCGCTATAGACAACCATAAATTGTAAGATCATTTTAAACGTCATCGTAAGACACCCTTATCTATATTGTTTTCCCTGCTTCATTTTTCTTTCATGTTTACTACCTGTATACTTTGAACACGAGGGCGTGTTCTCAAGAAAACAAGGTGTGGTGTAGTATTGGCGCACCGTAGCGTAGGAGCACGTGACACTTTGCATGCATGACCTGTCATCTATAGAAACCTGTACGCCGGCCTGATAGACACGCTTTTTGCACACCACAGTCAATAGCCTGAATGCTTCACAGATTTTATTCTTCCTCCTGCCGCCACTCTGTCTGGTCCACACACATAATAATAGATATCACTTTTCCTACACTGTCTCCCTTGCTTTAGCAATTAGTTATGGATTCCGTTACACCGCTGGCGTCTCTTTCTCTTTCTTCATTCGCTACCTAAACATAACGTTTCCATTGTTTCTCTTCGATATTCTTTCCGCTAGTTCTCGCTGTCTTTTCCCGTAGTCTCGATCTTTCTGCCGCAAAGCCCGCTGTTCTCCGGCTAGCTATTCCGTACTCTACGCTGTCCATGTCGATCTAGCGATCCTTCTCCCTGCTCCGCTGCGCTGTTTTATCGATCTCCCCGATAGCTAACTTCCTCTATAAATTGCTAGTGTTCACAATCATTCTTTGCCTTTCCGTGATTCAGACCAAGAGAAGTACGTTCCCGAGAGTTAGGCTCTCTCGACCCCGAGTTCAACTGTGAAAGTCTGCGACTGTGTCGTAGCATTGATTGTGATCGTAGTTTAGAGAGAGAGACTTTGAGTGCATGAACTGTTGATATCGCCGATATCACACTATGCCACAGTGTACATACGCCTGAAATGTGCATCCGTGCACACCCGTGCATACTCTGGAGTAGGAGTCTACAGCCGCAATGCCATGATAGGCTGCCAAAACTAAAAGGACTTACACCACTGAATTGTATTCCATCAGTGCTAAATAACACAAGGTCAACTCCCCCCCCCAACACACACACACATGTTTCTATGCTTGAACGAAAGCACACGCATACACAGTTCACTGTACACACTTCACTAGGTTTCCTAGGTGGATAGCATCGAGAAAGGCCGCCGGCACTTGGTATGTACCCGCAGCATGTGAACAGACTTTGCAGTTCAAACAGCACACGCTCATGCCAGGAGAAGAGGTTAAAGTACATAGTACTGTTGACAATCAAGAAAATTCCCCAAGCTTTTTTAATGTCACACAATTCATGACAAGGTATATTTGATAACATTTAATAACGATAGAATTTTTTACGATACTTCTCCAGACGTTTCGTTGTTCTGAACAACATCGTCAGTGGATAAAGAACTGACGATGACCACTGACGATGTTGTTCAGAACAACGAAACGTCTGGAGAAGTATCGTCAAAAATTCTATCGTTATTAAATGTTATCAAATATACCACTCTTTGGTCTAGAAAGAATACTTTTTGATATTACAATGAGAGTGAATAATCAACGGCTTGTCCACCAACTCTTATTCATGACAAGACTGGATAATGGATATGTACAGTTGAACATCGATTATCCGACCACCTCTGGGCAGACAACTGTCAGGCGGTGTTCAGATAAGGCAAATGTTCCGGATAAGAAAACACACTGTAAATACATGTACATGTACATTGTAAATAGAATAGAGTGCTACTTTTCAAAATTTTCGTATTTTTTGAATGGCTCACTACATGCACAGTGCATACTCTACGGCAAGTGCGCCCAAAAAAACTGTTACGGATAATCGAATGGTCAGATAGTCGATGTGCGGATAATCGATGTTCAACTGTACAAAATTGAAATGGTATGGCAGGCAGCTGCTACGCACAAAGATATGATGCATACGAATGGGATTAGAAGACCAAGTACGAAACATTCTTCGTTTACAGTACTGTATTACAGTAAGTACGTATGTTGGCGGCATGCAGAAGAGCCCAGCTCTGGGGCGATTTGTATGCTCGTGGGGTTATGACATATTAAAGACAATAAAATAATGTTCTGTCAGATGCACGAATAATCTAGTGCACATAGGGATTACTCCGATGATTATGATAACGTTGTCATGCTGCGGGTGAGTCTACCTTAGAAGGTGTCGAATCTATTAAAAATATATATTGGTTAGTTGGTGGCTGGGGGACTTTTTCAGGACCCAAACTTCAAGATACTGCAAATAGATGGTTCCCGAAGCTAGCAGAATGAAAACAAAAATGATTTAAAACAACGCTCTTGAACCCAAAAGAGAAAACAGATATCAAAACTAAAGCCAGTGACAGTGAGGGGGTGGGGAGGGGGTGGGGGGGGGGGGGCAGGAGGGAAAATAAATAGCAGATTAACAAATGAAGCGTGTAGCAAAACATAGGCACACTGATGATGACAATGGTATGAAGTCGATGAAAGATAGACGGGTCGGTCGCAAGGCTTAACTGGCCATTGCCCTAAAGAGAATTGAACAAAGCTAGAAAGATTTGATGGCACTATATTTCAGATACAGGTTTCTTAATCCGTAATGGTTGTTTGCAGGTTTCTTTTGTAGAATGAACCGTGAGCTTGGAAAGTGTTTAACTATTGTCAAGAAATTGTCAGGGAAGAAAGAAAATATCTACAGCTACGGGATGAGTTCCACCAAAAGCAGATCACTGCCCATTTCCCAATGCCGATACGCCACATCGTAGAGGGCGAGTGGGCCATCAAGCAAGACAGTTGAAACCTAAAGTGCCATGTTTCGTGTGCTTACAAAGAGCGGTCTGCACAGCGACGTCATGTGTCCGCTGGGAACGTACGCAGTGCTGCATGCATCCGGAAGTGCAATCGACTCTGGAGCGCGTACTTCTTGAAGTTAGTCCTTCATGCAGAAAAGAAAACATGCGGCACGCACACATAGATATACATGCTAAGCTTAATACGTTATTTGAAGAAACGTTATCGCGAACCTGGTTTGATATGTCTGTGTAAAGATGCGCATACAGATGGGTGGCCAGGTAGCCGTCGTTAAACTTTCTGCACATTATCATACCAAAATTACAAAAACGTCAAACTTTTTGGTTGTTAAACTTTCCGGTTTTACAGTAACTAAAATGGCAAACTGTGCAGATAGACATTCACTGTACAGTCAGACCTCGCTTAACCGCACACATCTGTTTTCCACAAAAATATCCGGATATGCGAGGGAACCGGATAACTGAACACACATACTGTATATGCATGTGGCATGTCAAAAGCAGTGACATTGTACATACATGTAGACGGGTCCTATGCAGTACAACTAGCGTGCACAACATGACTGATTGTTATAGCTAAAACAAGCGAGAAAAATAACAAGTGCATGCAACTGAGTGCTGTCCACATGCACCCAGCACGGGCCAGCAGGTCAAGGACCTCATTTGCCTGTACAACTCCCTGATTCTAGTTTCTGCAAGCCACATGCAACCGGATACGACGAAGCTTTTTGTACACATTTTAACCCGTTTGTATACAAAATCATGCACCGGTATGCGGATCGCGAGGCCCGGTTATGTTGTATGCATAACATATGCTGCACATCGGTAACCAGCGATTTTCTTCCGGATGGCGAGGGATCCGGATAAACGAGGACCGGATAAGCGAGGTCTGACTGTACCACGGTATACACTGTCTTTCATTAATTCTATTGGAAAAACCAAGCATGTCTATATCTCGGACCTGGGTCAGAGAGCATCGCTGAATGCTACAATTTCCTAAGCAAAATGTACTTCTGGCTCCTGCTTCTCTCCGTTGTTCATTTGATATACCTCAAAGCAGGCTGGGAACACTGGCCAGTGCAGAGAAAGAGAGAAAGAGAGAGAAAGAGAGAAACACTGCAGAAGAGACAGCTCTCATGTTTACGTATCACCGGGGACTCCCCTTTCCTCAGTATTAGAAATATCCTGCACATGGGTCTGGTTACTCTGGTAAGGCACTGTCATGAGTCAGTACTATGAATGACCTACAGGTTTGTACTGTTTTTCGATTTTGACAGCATGTTACAAGGCGAGGACGCGTAGTGCTCCTGTGTAACATGCTGTAAAAATCGAAAAACATGTTAAACTACCAAGCAAGGCTTCTGTATATACCAGGTTTGTACTGGTACTTCAGTACCTATGCATGAGCATGCTCACAAACATACCGGGCTATGTCAAAATGCTTTCTGGCTTCATTGTACTGCTCTAGTTTCATGAAGCAAAGACCAATCTCCACGTGGCAATATGGTTGTAAGTAGGCATTCTCCACACCAGAGTTGATGGCACTGTATGGGAAGGAGACGAGGAGATGGAAGAAAGAGAATGAGAGAGAAGGGGGAGGGGGGATAGAGAGAGACCATTGGTTCATCGTCGCTGGGTACTGATCAATATGGAAGTCAACATGTTGACATACTCTGAAAGTCCCGTACTAGTACCCTTTACAGCAGCACAGCAGCGCATACTGGTACTGTTAAAATATAAATATTTTATTATTTTTAGATCAGTGCCACATCGGGGTATAGCCCTTGCTCTTGGGACCAAATATTCATGTTCCAATGTGTTACTGTAAAGGCATTATTCCAACGAGCCGCAAATAGAACGATTTCCTAAAATTGACGGGTTTACGTGTATCAAAGGTAACGATTCTCACTCTCTCAGAGCTCACTACTACACTAGCAACAGCATAGGTATAAATTTAGTACTTCGTATAAGGCTTTTACTGTATTCGTTCGTATGAAACACATGTTTGCCAAACATTTGCCTGGGCATGAGCCACATGATGATGATGTTGGCCCTATTTTTCGTGAAAGGGGTTCCGCGCTGATATTGTCATTGTCATTCTTGGTAGAAGTATGATCACGTGAGTAGCTCTTTCCATGCTTCACATGTATGTATGATATGGTGTCAGTTCACCAGGTTCAGGACACATACGAGATATAACATTACTGCCCACTGTTCTGCTTCCACTGCCGTAGCTGTGATGTACAAGCTCATTGGTTTTCCATCTCTGGCTAGGCAGGTATCAATGAGTCAAGACTCAAAAGCGGAAACAAAAGACTGACGTCATAGATAATCTGCCATGGCCCAAGGGATCGTCAAGTTTCACACACGTGCCAAGTTGGCTACCGGTATGTATTCTTACGTAGTAGTACATGTACAATGAAAAGGGTTCACAGGTAACAACGGTTGAACCCCACTTTAATACTCTGGACAGTCTTGACTCTTATGCAATGACTCCAAGTCAAATATTTAGCACAGGGGTAGAGTAGGTGAGTGGAACTGTCAAAGATGTGATCAGCCTGACAGACACTAGCTAGTACTCACTACTGAAGCATGTCTTGCAGTTTCGCCAGGCCTTCATCAACTTTGCCAGAACAGCGAAGGCAGACACCAAGAAGAAGCTCAGCCAGGCAATGATCGTCTGGATCATCAGCTGCATGGAAATAAGGAGAGTGAACATAGAAAAGCACAGAGAGATAGTGAGTGAGCCAGTTAGAACCTAACGAATCACCAGAGCAAGGCTCATTCTACAACAAGGCCAGCCTTTAATGGCAGGGTGCATGTGTGAGAAATTCTATCGACAAAAAGCAAAGGCAATTGGCGAATATGCTGTAACAACCAGTTAGCTACCGGCCAAGCCATACATGCCTACTGCAAAGGCATGTACTTACAGGCCATACACACTTACAGGCCATACACACTTACAGGCCATACACACTTACAGGCCATACACACTTACAGGCCATACACACTTACAGGCCATACACACTTACAGGCCATACACACTTACAGGCCATACACACTTACAGGCCATACACACTTACAGGCCATACACACTTACAGGCCATACACACTTACAGGCCATACACACTTACAGGCCATACACACTTACAGGCCATACACACTTACAGGCCATACACACTTACAGGCCATACACACTTACAGGCCATACACACTTACAGGCCATACACACTTACAGGCCATACACACTTACAGGCCATACACACTTACAGGCCATACACACTTACAGGCCATACACACTTACAGGCCATACACACTTACAGGCCATACACACTTACAGGCCATACACACTTACAGGCCATACACACTTACAGGCCATACACACTTACAGGCCATACACACAACAATCTCATACTATAGACTCTGCATGCAACCAAAACTTACACACATCCTGACTGGCAGCCCTGCTGACATACGTATACATCTTCTCCAGCAGTTCCTGATTGCGAGCCAAAACCGTGAAGCCACTCCACATCATGTACGCCATTTCCTGTACAGTACCATGCACACACGCACGCACGCACACACACACGCACACACACACACACACACACACACACACACACACACACACACACACACACACACACACACACATGCACACGTGCATGCATGCACATGTGCACACACGCCAGCACCACAGCCATTCTCAAAGGTTTGGATGCAAGCCCGCTACCTGTGAGTGTTGAAGTACAGTTTCGTACTACGTAGCACCCAATTTACTTGTCATGCAAACCAATTCTCATTCATACCTAGGTATTTATATCCCCAAGCAAATGTTGACTTGCCCCTTGCAGTCAAGCACAGTACACCAACAGTACAATCCACAAATGATGGCTTACTGCACATTGCACTCTGTATCAGTGTAAACTACAGTATGCAAGCGGCCAATGACTTACAACAGCTGGTAGGAAGAGATGGCCCTTGCGTAAGAACCGATCGTGTCGCTCGATGGCAAACTTCTCAAATGGCACTGATCGGCCTGCTATTCTGATCTTGTGACCGGGGATTTTCCTGACAATGGACGAGAGAGAAACAGGAAAACAACATGTTACTTCCTCGTTCGGTTCATCAAGCAGCATTACAATTCTCATTCACTTACCTATATTGAGTATATTCCATGCACGCGTGCAGTTTCTATTTTTAATGCATTATGCTGGTCAGTACAGAGGGTGCGCTGTTCAACTTGTACAGAACACATGTGCATAGTAGCTATGGAGAACGAATGCGAAAATCAGAAAAAAATATTTAGAAAAATGATTGAAAATAGATTGCGATCCGGAAAAATAAAAACTTCAGGTTTTCTGAGTACTAGTACTTTACGTGAAAAGGGGTTCCACCAGCCACACATCACATGAAGTCACGGGTGTAGATCTGATGCATACCCTTCAAAGTAGGCAGGTGATCTCCAGAAACCAGTTGCCTTTGAAACAGGAAATTCCCAGGTAAATATTCAACATGGTTGCTGCCATGCACGCGTATGTCGTCATGCGCACAGCATGAGAAACCGGTGGCAGTGAGTGTTGAAATCTTCATGGTGTGTGCCTGTCACTTAGAGCAAAGCTTTACTAGTTACTACAGCTCTATTCTCTTTTTTAACATGCTACCGTGATTATGGCAAGGAAGAAAAGACATTCGAAATCTATTTCAAACAATGTTAGAGCAAGATTCTGTTCAGTCAATTGAGTCTTGTCGCCCCATGAGTGCAGTACCCATGATCACCAGGACACATAAGCACGGCAAGTGAGTAGAGAAAACAAAACAGTGATCACCATGGTCAGCTGCAATGACATCATAATATGGTTCTTACTTCATCAATGCCGATGCTTTGGTGTACTGATCGGACTTGGGATCAGCGTCCATGAGCAACGTCGCTGCTTGCATATACAGATAGGACGACTGCACAACAAAGAAACACAGCCATAAGAAAGCAAGCATGGATCCAGACAACTACGAGCCCACAAGTGTGCACATATCATATATGTGCATAGCAAATAATCAACCAAAAACTCTGGAATCTACAGAAGTACTTCAGAAGTATGTGTACTACGTAGATACAATCATATCAGTGGATAAAAAAATTCTCAACTCCACCAACTTGATAATGAATGGACACTTCAGGTGGGAAAAGTGAACAGTGTGTGCGCGCGCGCGCGCGTGTGTGTTTGTGTGTGTGTGCATGCGTGCGTGTGTGTGTGAAACAAGCGCAGTGTACAACGACAAAACTTACCTTGGACCATCTGCTCTCCTTAAAGAGAGTCTCGGCGAAATCAGATGCTTTCAACCAGTTTTGACGGAAGCTAACGAGTACCACACACATGGAGGCACATCCATTCACATGCGCATTATCACACACAGACACAGACAAACCGAGACACATAGACATAGACACATACACAGACACACACACAAATACATGTGAATACAGAAGAAAAGAGAAAAGAGCGCTCATGTTCCTGAAACTTACCAATGAGACCAGAATATTTCCCAGTAGCAGAGATGATGTAACTGAGGCCACTGCTTCTGACAGGCAACCGACCGACATAGCCACTCCTCAGCCTACCCATAATGAAAGAAAGGTGAGGACGTAAAACAAGGTCACATACTAAACGTGACACTTCACAATAAAAGAAGTCGTACTTCAAAGTACAACATAACTTCATCGATTATGGATATACATACGAACCGTGCCGTACAGAGTCCTTACAAAATTGGCAATGTAAATCCAGCCCAGTGTGCTTCCCTATGCACATCATCATAATGATACATGACGATCACATGATACATGCCAGTCACATGATACATGCCAGTCACATTTTCCATCATTTGCTATGTTGCCATGATGATTCCCATGACATCACTTCAGGTTTTTCTCATCCATCCCTGCGTTAGTTCTCAAATCTAACTTGTTTTTTGTCTGTAGTTCGTTGGCTGGCAAGTTGCAATCAAGAACATTCCGTACTAATTCTGCTTGACCATGCAGAGAAAAGGTTGAAGCCGCAAACATACCTCAGTAAACTGAGTTTTCTCACGCTAGCATAGACGTGTTACCACATGCAATGGTGGGACCAATGTCGCAATGAAAATGATCTTGGTATTGGCAAATAAGCTAGTCCTGGAACGCAACGCAACACCATGCAACAAGTACTTACATCCGCCATCGAGCCTTCAATAACCAGTAATCTGCCTTTGAAGAAGAGGAACAGAGCACCCTGAAACAGAGGAGAGGGTTACATCACAACACAATTACTGTTGAGACTGCAGACCGTATTGATGAATAAAAGAAAGGAAGAATTGCATGAACAGCTAAACAGGAGCAACAGCCTGCCCGACACCTACACTAAATGCAGCGGAAGCTACCCATGGCCACACGTAAACATGCATATGTACATGTGCACACGAAAGGTCACCAAACATGCACACGCATGTACACATACAGGTGTGTGTTAGAGTACACAACCCCCACAGAGTACACAACCCCCACAGAGTACAACTTCGGCTCATGCTCCATGTACTTTACAGCTACTTCGAATCAGGGTTGAGCCAGGTAGGATGTTCTTCGGCAATTGGGTTCGGCTAATTTTCTACAGGTACCATGGGTACATATCGGGCAGTGTTACTATGGAGACACCATTCCTCTTTGAATCCGTCATGTTACAAATGGAACATACCCGTACCTCTTAGTGAATTGGAAAATAAATTTTAATTCCCGTAGCTATGCAGAAGACGTCACGAAGCGTCTTGCGCTAGCCAGAGTCCACAGTGCGTTATCCTCGCTCCAAGAGCTTGCTCGAGATCGTCAACATCGGTCAGATAGAACATGGCATATCAAGTTAGAAAGTGACTCATTGCAAACATGTACTTGTACACTACATGTACATGTTTTTCGACCATACTACCAAGAGTCCATAAGAGTATGCAACTGTGATCTCTTTTCTATGGGCCAGATGCGCGGCGCGCTGCCTTCATTACATCTTTCAGCTGCAGTCCGCGCACTGCGAAAAATCCAACACCGCACTTCCCCTCGTTTGAAATGAACTTTCATACGGAACTGGAATTCACGCGCCGAAATTTAGAGATCGCGTAGGTACTAGAACGAATGGAGGAAAAACGGACGGACTCGTACGAGGAATTTGGGGTTTGAGTGCATGCTTTCCGAGCGTGATGGAGGCAAGTTACGTAATGAAGGCAGCGCACCGCGCACTGACCCATAACCACAGTTGCATACTCTTGTTTACGCACTCTTGATACTACCCATAAGGTGGCCAGATAACACAGGTACGCGGCTACCCGTGCAAAGCCCAAATTCTTATGGCAACACGCATGGCTTGGGTACTAGTAGGCCAGCACAATCGGCTGATGCATGTTTGTAGGGATATCGATGAAGCTGCTCAACGGAGCTGTGCACTGTTGGATATAATGAACCCATAGTAAGCTCCTCAGCATGCACAGAAAGTCAGCTGCACACACATACATTCACACTGTCAGTTGCAGTCCAACACAGACACTGTTCAGCTTACATTGGGATACTTGGTGAGGTTAGTTGTAATAAGCTTCGTAGCTTCTTCAATGTCACCATCGCCGAGGCCTGTCCAAGTAAATCGAGCAGATGATACCAATAAGTCCCATGTAATGCTCTGGCCGGGACACTACATGTAGTACTGTCCACCTAGTAAACCAATAAACTACAAGACACCATACAGCTTGGTCCGCACGATAGCCAAACAATTCACAGCCTATTCTCTGCCACTCACCAAGCATATACGGTATGATCGTGTGGAATGTTAGCAAAACAAGGCGGGCGGAAAATGCCCGCAGTGACTCGGCGTAAGCACAGTCATTGAGCAACTTGAGGCCGAGACCCTACAGTGATAGCGGAAAACAAGTGTAAGAAAACAAGTGCAGGAAAATAACATGCCAACACCAAGCAGAAAGCATTTCTCATCAGTGCAAAAGTACCTAGCCTGATCTGATGATTCGCATATGCAGCTTAGTCCGGGGGCCAGGTGGCACGGGTGTTCAAAATATGGCAAGAGTCGAAAGTCTGACGAGTTAAATGTTGAACGATTTGCAATTTGCCCCACTGCACTAAGCGAGCACAGAGTTTAAGGACCCTGCCACAACACACCCGTCTTTTATTTCTCCAGTACAGAGGGGGAGGAGGATAAGCACAAGAGCCTTTTGTGCTCAGTTATCGCAAATTCTGACCGCTTATTATCTAGCTACAGTGTTGGACAGTGACTCATTTTGTGTCCTTTATATTTTTTACACTTATTGTGTGCAGAAATAAACATCAAAAACTGATATGATACACGCCATTACATGGTAATAGAGGTCGGTATGACCGAGGGTACAAAACCAAGAGTGTGCAACTCCTAACTCGAACTGTGATGGGTTCACCCACGGCGGAATTTTCTTTATTAGATCATTCTTTGGCAGAAGTATGATCAAGTGCGTCTGCTTTCCCACGCTTGTTTTGTGGATACGGTGAGAGTTTATCAGGTTCAGGATACATCGATCTATTGTCCGTTGTGCTGTTCCGACTACCGTAGCTGCGATGTACACATTATTTGTACTTTGTTCTCTGGCACGCATGATGGCATTAGTGAGCCAATAGCCGCGGAAGACTGATGTTGTTAAAACATTTTGCCGTGGGTTGGGGGATCGTAGAGTTGCACACTCTTGGACCTTGGTTATGTACTCTTGGTATGATCCATGAAAACAACCACAATAGCCTTTTACAAACTCTATTATAGTTATGTGTTTTCCAAACTTCCAACATTCCCTGTACTATCCTGATGAGAAGGGAAAGACAACGTTTGATAGATGAAAGGAAGTGTCTACTTGATTGTGTGGATTTGGGTCTTTGCATGCGAAGTTATAGATTGCGAAATAGCCTTAGAATTAGAATTTAGTAGTAGTAGTATTTATTATTTTACTACGGCAATCCCCACAGACTGTGAGTCTTTTTACAGGGTAGAATTTGTGTTTTATTACCATGGTAAATCGGTACGTACTTTGATTGAACTTCCCCGTCCCTGTTGCAGACCCCCTCCCCCCAATAGGATCATCCAGTGGCAGCTAGAGGTCTGTGCAAGCTCCTAGTGACATTTTCTATCGACTCATGTCATCAAACCTTGGTACCCTTCAAACGAGAGGCATTTCACTACTATATCTACGGTCCCCGGAGTAGTTTGGCAACGGAGTACAAGAACTACTTTAAGGCAAAAACATGTTGCGGACACCAGCATTGAACACTGACATTCAGAATAACATACGTACTCTGTCACCAGAGTATCCGATAAATTCTAGAAGCTGGAGTACTCTTGCAGGAAGTAATGACATTGCCTACAGTCAACACAAAGATGGGAGAAGAATACATCACACAGATCAGCATTAGCGAGAACAGGAGAACTGTAAATACACTTGATGAGGATGATCATTGATGATGACGTATCAAGGCTAAATACGATGAGGACAAGTGCACACCAGTTCAACTCCAGGGGCGGATCCAGGAAGGGTTTAAATTTCGTAAATGTGCTACCGGCAACCATATGCGTGTCCATGTACATGTATCAGCTATTCAGTTTTTGATTATACTGGAACCCCCTGTAGAGATCGCTGGATCCGCCGCTGAACTCAACGTGTAAACACAGTATCTGATCCTGCCAGACAATCTCAGCCTACAACATAGATGATCGTAGCTGGTTGAGGGACAATCAGCAACAATATAGTTGGGCCTGGCCTTCGTGATATACTACCAAGTACTAGTACCACTAACCAGATTGAAGGTTCCAAAGCCATACTTGACACCCTGGGCAAACTCATGATCACATCTCCCACTAGTGCTCATAAGATCGTAGCATTCCCTGCAGGAAGAAGGAATACATGTACAAGGTGAGAGCAGTACACAAGTTGGACTACGCAACTCTAACAGAAAGGGATCAGCCTGAACCGGGGAAGGATGGCAGCGGAGCAAAGGGAACGGTGCTCTAAAGGATAATTTCACACAAACATACGAAGAGAGGTAACGCTGAATACTGATTCTAAACGCAGTGCCCTGCCTCAACGTTGCACGTTCTTGATGGTCCACATAATTAGTATCTGGGATGGAGTTAAACATTAGTTCAAGGTTCAGTAGTAGTCAAGGAGTGCAAATGAAAGGAACCATGCCAAGTAACCTTCATGAAGATAATAATTTAATTGGAGCTATAAAAAGTATGAGTGCTGCAGACATCACCACGCAATATGACAACGTATAAGAGGTTCTCCCCTCTAACAAGTTGTCATGTTGCGTGGTGATGTCTGCAGCACTCATACTTTTATAGCTCTAATTAAACCATGCCAAGCTCGATCATTGCTGCCAAAAGCACCCACAGCATACTTA